GACAGACTGATGAGAGGACAGACAAACAGACGGGAGGACAGACAGACGGGAGGACAAACAGACGAGAGGACAGACAGATGAGAGGACAGACAGACAGAAGGACGGACGGACAGACAAACAGAAGGACAGAGACAGGAGGACAGACAGATAGATAGATAGATGAGAGGACAGACAAACTGGAGGACAGACAGATGGGAGGACAGACAGACAGGAGGACAGACAAACAGGAGGACAGATGATCGGTAAACTGAGACTGGACTCCTGAAAATCAATGTGATCTGGACGAGGACAGATGGACATGTACCCTGTCCTCCTGCTTGGTCCACGGGCCCTTCTTCAGACTCGGGTCCAACACTTGGGTCCACCTGTAGATGAGCTGAGCTGGGTCACGGCCCTCCATGAAGTAACTCACTGGATTCAGAAAAATAAGACGTCAGAGACAGAAAGTTTTCATGTCGTCACAGCGTGATGATGTCACAGTGTGATGATGTCACAGTGTGATGATGTCACAGCGTGATGATGTCATCATTACTCTGCGTGTAGGGGATGAAGTTTCCGATCCTCATCTTGTCTATGAGTTCTCTGAGCTGAGCATCTTCTTCTGGAGTCCAGACGCTGCGTTTCAGAGTGTCTGAGACGAAACGCTGGAACATCTGAAGACACATGAAGGCTGTCCTCCCCGTCTGAGAGACAGGACAGAGAGAGAGACAGATGAGAGACGGAAAGTTGAGACAGAAAGAGAGAAACCATTTAAAAAGAGGGAAACAGGTCAGAGAGAGAAAGACAAGACATAAGGAGATAAAGGAGACGAAGAGACAAACATGAGACAGAGAGACGGGGGACGTCCCTGGTTTGAGGTGTGGTAACTCACAGGAATTGAAGGACAAAGAAAGAGCTGGTTGCAGGTATTAAGAAGGCCAAGGCCACATATGCACAGAGGATCCAGGGTCAGTTCACCTCATAAGACCCTCGGAGCAGGTGGAGGGGCATGAAGTGAAGGACAGATGATAAAGGAAGGAGCGAACTACGTCCCAAAGAGCCATCGCTGCCGATGCCCTCAATTCATTCAGCTTTGTTTCTACAGGCTAGTCCCACTGAGCCCCAGGGACTCGTTTACAGAGACCTGGTTTGACAAAGACCAGAGACCTGGTTTGACAAAGACTGACGACGACAGAGGACGATCAGAAAAGATGCAAACAAACTGAGATTTCACAAGAGAAAATAAAATGGTTTAAAAGGAAAAGTTAAAAAAAGCAGCTGGGTTGTAAAGAAATGTAGAAAACTACAAACAGGAACTGATCAGATGTTTGAAGCCACTTAGAGAGGTCAAAGGTCGAGAGCTTCAGGTCTATTTATAAGATATTCCAGGAAACAGGAGCGGAGCAGGAGAAGGTCCAAGGAGAGTTCTGTGAACACTTTAAAGACCCGAACAGACCTCCAGCACCACGGGACCTTCAGTTGATTTGTCATGTGCAGGTTACCAGTGCAATGAAATAACTGACTGGGACTGGGACTGGGACTGGGGCTGTAACTGGGACTGGGACTGTAACTGGGGCTGTGACTGGGGCTGTAACTGGGACTGTAACTGGGACTGTAACTGGGACTGGGGCTGTAACTGGGGCTGTAACTGGGACTGTA